CATATTCTGGGTTTTTGTTTGTTTTTGAGACAGAGTCTTACTATGCCCAAAGTTTGCTCTAAACTCCTGAGCTCAAATAATCCTCCTCCATGAGGCTCCTGAGGAACCTCCTGGTTTGAATGAGAACAGGCCCCATAAGCTCACCTATTTGAATGTCTAGACCCTAGCCAGTGGAACTGTTGAATGATTATGAGATGTGGCCTTGTTGAAGAAGGTTTGTCACTTGGGGTGAGCTTTGAGGTTTGAGAAGCCTACTCTCTTCTCAGCTACCTATCCCTGCCTTGTACTTGCGAATCAGGATATAAGTTCTTAGCCTGCTTGCTGCTGTGCTTCTCTCCATGATGGGTGTAGCCTCTAACCCTCTAGAATGCACACTGCACTTGACTATACAGATTTCATCATGTTTCCCCTTAAGAATACCTTTGGGAGTTAGTTACTCTTAACCATCATTCCTATACTCTAAACATCCATCTAGGTTTCATACCTCAAAGTTGATAAAAACAGTTTCTTGGGTTTTTGTTTTTTTGTATGTTTTACTAAATTTGCTCTTCGACCATTTCATACATGTATATAATTGGTTCTGAATATTCTTTCGTCCACCTTCTCTTATCTCTCTCCCACCCCTGAAAAGCCCTCCTTCTCCCTATAAGGCCCTTCCCACATTCACACCTTTTTGTTTTGTGACTCACTGGGTTGAAAGAGGGCTGTCCATGTGACCATGGCTTTAAACTATACACTGCAGCCTGGTGGTTGTCTGCTAGGTTTTTTATTTTTTTGAAGGTGGGAGCTCTTGTTAGAGTGTTTCTCAAATTGATGCTTATGTAGTGACCTGTGAGTGGTTGACAGTATTATCAGGTGTTTTTTAAATGTTATCTAATTTCCTCAAGTAGTCATCAGAATAAGGAGTGATGATAGCTTCTCTTCTCTCAGCATAATGCTAGGCCACATAACATGCTTCATAAAACATTTTACAATTTCAAGACTATGGTTCACCACTTTTGGGGGAAACATTTACATTGTTTGACCAAGAACTACTTCGGGCTGGGCCTGTGGGTATACACCTTTAATCCCAGCACATGGGAGGCAGAAGAATATCTGAGTTCCAAGCAAGCCACCACTACATAGTGAGCCTTTGTATCAAAAACAACAACACAAAAATTACTTCAGAGAGACTTATGTTACAATAAAAACTGCTAACTATTGGTTCAACTGCCTCAAAAGGATAGACAGCACATTGTGCTTATAGCAAGAGACCATTTCTCATATTCACATTTAGGCAGTGAAGATGGGGGCAGAGATAAAGAGAGAAATCTTCAACCAAAGAACAACATTCCAATTCAAGATCCCCAATCATGCTTTTTCAAAAATAAACTTAAAAATTATGAACATATCAAAATTTCATTTCCACCAAAAGCTCTACCTAAATACATTTACTAAAAATGACATTAAGTCTTGTGCTTAGAAGTTTAGCATTCTGAATAAACATACCCAGATGGCATGTTTATCTAGCCTGCAGGGAAAACAAAAGTTACTAGTCTTGAGTGTAAGAGGACCATGGGTAAGATGATCAATCCTCACTTAGAAAGACAAATGGGAGGTGCATTGGACATAGGAGAAAACAAGTAACAGGACAGGAGCCTACCACAGAGGGCCCCTGAAAGACTCTACTTAGCAGTGTATCAAAGCAGATACTAAAACTCATAGCCAAACCTTCGGCAGAGTGCAGAGAATCATATGAAAGAAGGGGAGTTAGCATGACGTGGAAAGGATAGGAGCCAAGGACCAAATATATCTGGGCACAGGGGTCTTTTCTGAGACTGACACTCCCCCAAGGACCATGTATGGATATAACCTAGAAGCTCTGCTCGGATGAAGCCTGTGGTAGCTCAGTAACCAATTGGTTTCCCAAAGCAAGGGGAATAGGGACTATTTCTAACAGGAACTCAATGGCAGGCTCTTTGATCTCCCCACTCCCCAAGGAAGGAGCAGTCCTGCTAGGCCACAGAGGAGGATTTTTCAGCCAGTCCTGAAGATACCTGATAAAACAGGGTCAAATGAAAGAGGCGGAGGTCCTCCCCAATCAGTGGACTTGGAAAGTGGCAGGGAGGAGATGAGAAGGGTTTGGGAGGGAATAAGGAGCAGGATATAGCTGGGATACAGTTAATAAAATGGAACTAATAATAAAAAAATAAAAAATTATAAAAAACAAAAAAAACCCTCCACACAAAAAAAAGAATATTTCACGGGTAAGAAAATTACATAGGATTATAATTTATATTCTAGAATACAATGGCTTAAGTAATACTGCCTAAGAAAGTTATGCTATTTTAGACATTTAAATAAAATTAAAGTTTGTTGACCCTCTATAAAGAATAGAAAAACAGTGAGAGAGAAGTGGTTTGGTTTTGTTCTGTTTTTTTAGAGACAAGAGTCTTCCTGTGACCTTTGTTGGTGTTCAAGTTACTATGTAGACCAGGCTGTCCTCAAACTCACCAAGATCTACCTAGCTGTCAAGGGCACACAAGGAATAAGACTCATATGAACCATGGCTCTAAGAAAAAAACTTTAAGAATACCTAGAATCAAAGAAAGTGGGAAACTGAAGAGTAACAGTACAATGGGAAGAACACTGGAGTAAAAGTAGAAAGACAGGAAACCAGGCCAGGATCTCCCTACCTTGGTTTTCTAAAACACAGGCTCCCAAGGTAGCCCATGCTGGAGCTGAACTCACACTCTTCTTGCCTCAGCACCCAAGTGCTGGGGTTATAGAAAAACACCACCATGATTCAAAAGTCTGGATTCTAACTAGTCAAATCATCTAGGTTATCTACAACTTCAGTTCCTTAATTTGCAAAAACTATCTGAAAGCTAAGGTCATTTACAATTCTAAAAGTACATATACTTTTATATGTAGTAGTTCTATCCCTATGCCATAAAATGTCTCTTTTCAGCTTCAACTGATAAAATTAAGTTCCTAAGGCAGTGTTCTACATGGTGGATAGTTCCAGGTCACTGCTATTCACTGCATTAAAGTGAGCAATTTTCTGTTAGTTAAATTATAATTCACAGATCACATACTAACACTTGAAATGAAAGCTGGGCGTGGAGTTCCATGACTTTAGTCCCAGACTTGGGAGGCAGAGGCGGCTAAATCTATATGAGCCCAAGGGGCCTGGCTGTTCTATATAGCAAGTTCCACACTAGCCAGAGCTATCTAATGATACTACAACAAAGATGAAATGAGCTGAAGAGAATGGCACAGTGTTGAAGAGTATGAGACTTGGAGTCTAGATCCCAACACTCACCTAACAAGCCAGGTATGCTATGCACTAAGAGAAGTCCAGAAGGAAGCTCACTGGCCTAAACTTAAAAAGACAGCTGAGCTGGAGGTTCCGAGACACCCTGCCTCAGAGGAATAGGTAGGGAGTGATGGAAGTACAGTCCTCCAAGCACAGGGGAGTACACCTACCTCCTCCATCTCCCCATACACATACAAGAGCTAAGACGTGAAATAATACTATGTTCTCACCCTTCACTTGGTTAAGTATTTAAGCAGAAAAAATTTGCATTATTACAATAGTGGTAAAGTATTACTTCACAGGTTTTTAGCATACCACCCCCCCCTGCCCTCTTTCTGGCACACCTACAATGATCAGTTGATAATCTCTGTCACCACTGGATGTCACTTTTGCTCCAAAAGAAGTCAACCCAAATTATCCTTAATAATTAGGATGTGATCTCTACAATACTTACTCCTAATACCACAACATAAAAGTTTATCTGCAAAAGACAAAAAAGTCATAGGACTTTCTAGTGATTTTTGAATTCAGATGTTTCTAAACTTCAAACCCAGTACATGAAGTACAGTAGGATTTCTAAGATCCATCATAAGTCATCAAAAAAAAAAAAAAAAAAAAAAAAAAAAAACACTGACATTTTATCAACACTAATGGCTTTTTAGAATTTACATATGGACAGAAAAAATGCAAGTGACAAAAGAAAAAAGTGCTTTCATACAAGTATAAAGTGCTTAATTTCTTATACAAGAAATGTTTTTCTAATCTTATAATACTACTAGTATCATAAGAATGTCTTAAGTTATTTCTTATCTACAATTAATGAACACTTAACCTATCTAATAATATGCAAATATTAAGGTACCGGCATACCTTGTGCGTATTTCTTTCATTCACAATGTCGTTCTTCACAACCAATGTCACTATGAAGAGAACTTACCAAATGGAGACAAATCAAACATACACACACAACTCTGTCTCTACCCACACTTCAAGTCTGCTGAAAAGAACTGCTGAATCACTGCCACAGTAAGTCCCAGCTGATGTTGGAATCTACTACAGTCCTTGTTGGAGTAGAAAAAAAGTTCTAACAACTGACTACATGAGTCATCTGGCTATATTATTTCATGAAGTGCTGGCTGTTTTCAGGAATGGGAACCTTTCAGATTCAAAAACCACATGCCTACAAAGGGTAGATTTGAGAAAGCATCAAAGTAGGAATTGTCAGAGTGGTTTCAGAAGCCAAGGGTAAGTCCAAGACATTTGTTCCTCTATTTTGTGAGTTAGAAACAAACATTCTGTTGTTGTTGAGACAGGGTCTCACTCACTATGTAGCCCTGGTTAGCCTAAAACTTGGTGGATATTCTTGAGTAATTCTTAGCAATGAGCCATATCCCTAACCCAAGAAAAGACTTAACTACAGAAGCAGTATTACAGATGCTAAGAATAACTGAATCTAATCATACTATGACTTCAGTGAACACTGAGTCATGCACATCTGTATGGATTGGCTCAGAAAAATATCACCTGTAAGAAAATATGTATTAACTTTTAGAAATGCACCTATTAGTTGGATTTTTACAATTGTCTCTGCAAGATTAAAAAAAAATTGTGAAATTTAGTTATCAATTATATGTCAATTATACACTTTGTCCTCAGAAAATAGTATTTTACACTTAAACCATTTTAGTAAAGAACCACTTGCCTTTTTCTGAGCAGTTGCAGCTCGTTGCAGTTTCTCTTTAGCTTGATTATACTTTTCTTCTCTGTCCGTGATACGCTCATGAAGCTTATGCTTTTCTTCCAACCACTGTATCTGTTTTTCCTCCAATGCCCTATCAGAGAATATGTACACAAACCAAAAAATTTAAAGGTTAGAGCAATTATTAAGTTGTATTTTAAAAAAAAAATGTCTATTTATTGTCAGGTTAAGCACTTGAAACCTGAATAATAATATCAACATCAAGCTATGAAAATTGTGCATAATAAAGGCAGTTAAAATCAAGTGTGGTTCTGGGTATGGAAGCAAGCATCTTTAACCCCAGCACTCCAGAGGCCTGGGCAATCTGATCTCTGTGCACCCAATGACAGGCCAGGCTGAGCTACATAGCAAATTCCTGGACAGCCATGGCTACAGAGAGACATTATCTTAAAAAAAAAATAAAAAAATTTTAAGCCTGACAATAATGCAGAATTTTTTTGTTGTATCCTAGTAATAATATAATTTAAAAGCTGTTCTACATACTTATCAATTATACAAATTTTGGTATCAATACTATGGTAATTAAAAATCAAAATAACAAGCACTGCCATGTTAGACTGCTTGACTATTTACTCAGGCAGATTTTGAATATATTAGTTGGAACAAAAGTTAAATTCTACTGACCTAGAAATCCAGTATTTTATTTAGGCTGAGTCTGGGTACTGGAAACTTATCTCAGAGCCATGAATATGCTGAGCAAGCACTCTACTGCTAGGCTACACCCCTAGCCCATTTATGGTATTTGGAGTAAGGCAATGACTATCAGCTGAAACCAACAGTGAATTATCTAAATCTGTTAGCTGCCCTGTATGTCATTAAAAGTTTTAGGCCCATTTTAATCAAACACTTGAGAATCACAAGATACAAATTTCTCCTTTTCAAAACAGAAGAAAAGCAAGTCAGATCCTCTGGAATGTCAAGACACATTAGAGAGATATATCTTTCTTACTGACTTTCCCTATTCATAAAACTCCATCTATAAAACACAGACAGGCCTTAAAATGTAAAAAACAGGAAAACTGGAGAGAAAAAGTTTCATGTGTTAAGACTGATTTAAGGACAAATTTGAAGAGAAAGCTGTCCTATAGATAAATAAAAATAACATGCTATAAACACAAAGCAAATATAAAATAGTACTCTTGATTTATTTGGTTTTGCTCTTTTAAATTTATTTTTGTGTTGCTAGGAATCAAGTTCAGGGCCTTGTGTACTAGCTAGACAATTCTACTGAACTATACACACAACCCATTTTATCACATAAAACATTTTCTAGAGAATATAAATACTGAGCATATCCCACATATTTTCCAGTTTACTATCTACTACTAGTAAGTCTCAAAGCACAAAGAATATAAATAAGTAAATAACTCCTCAAAAGAAAGTCTAAAGGGCTAGTTCTAAGAAATCTCTGTGTGTGTGTTTTGTGTGCGCACACACAGCAACCTCATAACCAAATCATTCCATTCTTTGGAATTCAGAACAGAACTGGGAAAGCATGTCCTGGTTTGCTCAAGGAACAGAGTTCCTTTTTTAAAGAGTTTTCAGAACACTGTACTCATACAGAAGTTTAAAGGTATTTCATTCATTCCTAAAATTTCTAAAAGCAATTTATAATAATATAATATAATAATATTATATTATTATATAATATTATTATATAATATTATTATATAATATTATATTATTATATAATAATATTATATTATATTATATTATATAATATAATAATAAGCTCATTTTATAGGATAAAGTATACTACCCACAAATACACTCAATGTTTTAATCAGCAATAAAATATGCTTTATACAGCAGAAAGAAAAAAGGTTGTACACAAAAAGAGCAAACTCTTACTTTTCAACTTCTAGTTGCACTTTTTCAGCTTGGCTTCTTAAATTTCGACATTCTTGCTTTAATCTCTCCACCATGTCCTTCAGCATTTGGTTTGAATTCAGCAAGTCGTTCTCTGACTGTGTCAGTGAGGTCACTTGGATCTGTAAATGACTGATTTGCTTAAAAGAAAAAAAAAGAGAGAAATAGAAAGACACTAAGACATCCATCAAGGCATGTGAGAAGTAGAATGCCTCTCCCAGTTGGTGGGGCCTGCAGGAATGCCCCGTTAATGAGGTAACAAGTAGCAAGGGCAAGGGTCATTTCTCACTACAACCACACTTTCAGTACAGGTTTTACAAAATCCCGTATTTGCCTTCATGTGGAAGCACTTCTGTCTTTTTTTAAATTTTTATTTCTTTAATATTAGTTACAGTTTATTTACTTTGTATCCCAGCTGTAGCCTCCTCCCTCATCTCCTCCCAATCCCACCCTTCCTCCCTCATCTCCTCCCCACCCCTCTCTAAATCCACTGATAGGGGAGGTCCTCCTCCCTTTCCATCTGACCTTCACTTATCAGATCTCTTCAGGACTGGCTGCAATATCCTCCTCTGTGGCCTATCAAGGCTGTTCCTCCCTTGGGGGTTGGGGAGGGGGGTGTCCAAAGAGCCAGCCACTGAGTTCATGTCAGAGACAGTCCTTGTTCCCCTAGGGAACCCGCTTGGATACTGAGCTGCCATGGGCTACATCTGAGCAGGGGTTCTAGGTTATATGCATGCATGGTCCTTGGTTGGAGAAAGTCTCAGAATAGACCCCTAAGCACTTTGTCTTATGCTCTATTGTAGCTATAGCTCAACTGGCTAAAAAGACTGAAGCTTTTTAAAGTTAGGACTAAACAGACTTCACTGGGGACAATTTTATATCTACATCCTTTGTAAACCATTTCTGTTTTATCAGCTAATAAACAAAAGTCTTCAGTTTTCTTTCCTTCAACTTCTCTTTAGCCATTCTCTGAAAGACCTTCCAGAGCTGCCAGAATCAAGGGACATAAATCAAAGGCACCCACCATAAGCCCAGGCCTGAATTTGGTCCCCAACATCACCAAAACCAAAACACCACCATAAGATTCAAGAGTCAAAAGTGTCCCCTCAAAAATGTCTCTCCCAGTTGGTGGGGCCTGCAGGGTGCCCTGTGAGTGAGCTAACAAACAGCAAGGGCAAGGGTCATTTCTCACTATACCAAAGACTTGCAATACCACATGTTCCTAGAATAAAGAAACATGGTATGTCTCAGATTTCGATTTCAGAATAAATATTTTATGGAGAAGTTATTTTTTTAAAAACTGGAGTAGAATATATCAACTCTATATTACACCTTTTTAATTAAGCAGCCATGAAGAAATTTAGCTCTAGATCCATAGGATGGCAGAACACTTAGACTACAGAGCTATGTCTTTAAGTATTATAGCCATGTCTCTCAAAAATAAAATGAGAGACTTGCTGGTTAAGGCTCCATAACTGCACATGCAAAGGAATGCCAGCTAACATACAAGCATTATGCTCTCCAATAAAGGTCCCAAAACTGCATGTGCAAGGCAGTATAGGCTGATGTGAAAAAATTCTAAATGGAATCCTCACTACTCATAATCCAAGAGAAGAAAACTATTTCAAGCAAAAAAAAAAAAAACAAAAAAAAAACAGAATACTCTTCTGTATTTTACCCAACATTATATAAGTATTTCCTTTAACTAAAATATAAATTTCTTCCCAGAGGTACAACTCTTAAATTTAATACAAATACAACAAGAAAACTAAAACCCATAACAGGTCACAGAATATAAATTTATATGTATAACTAAAAAACCTGAATATTTCTAATTAATTTTAAAATTCAGAATGTCAAAATATTGTCATTTTAAATATAACAAAAAAACCTGTCATAGGCCACAACATATAGGAATATATTAAGATAAACAGCAAAAGTGAAACAAGTCTACTAAATTAAAGCAGAAAAATGGAAACATATTATCCTTATATAACAGGCTCATCAGTAAATTATGATGATCAGATTACAAAGTACTGATTAAGACTAATAACTACACAAAACAGACTTAAAAGAAACATTCAACAAAATAAAATTAAAATGTGTATTATAATCACACCTGTTTCAGTTCAGAATTTTCAAGTTTTTCTTTTTCTGCTTTTTCAGTATTCACAATTTGTTGTTGAAGTTTTAACCTATAAACCACAACAAAAAAGATTAAGCATTCATAATTCATTTATTTCACTGAACTGGACAATCATTCTACTGAATGGTTGTTTGACAACAGGTACTGCACAACAACCCTAAATATTTAGACTCCTGGCAGGTACATAATGTCCACCCAAATTACTTCTTTAGCGACAAGAACTGAGTCTGGAGTGGGGGGCAACAATTCTACTGTGGGTACAGGAGAACATACATGGAGACACCAACAGCAGAGATCATAACAAACATGCTCCGCCATACCACAAGGACACTTGTTCAACTATGTTCACAGCAGCTTTATTTGCAATAGCCAGAAACCATAAGCGACACAGATGTCCATCAACTGAAGAATAGATTTAAAAAAAAAAAAGTACATTTACACAATGGAATACTATTCAGCTATTAAAAACAATGACATCTTGAAATTTGCAAGCAAATAGATGGAACTAGAAAAGATCATCCTGAGTGAGGTAACCCAGACCCTAAAAGACATTCATAGTATGTACTCACTTACACATGGATATTAGCCATGAAGTACAGGATAATAGACCCAAAGAAGCTAAGTAACAAATAGGGCCCAAGGGAGAATGCTTGAATTTCATTGAGAAATGGAAATAAAAATATATGGGTAAAAGGAAGGAAAAAACTGGGTAGGATAGGGATGGGGTGGGAGGCAAGAGGGATCATGTGTGGGGAGAACAAAGGGAAAAGAGAACTGGGAGAACTGGGATCAGTGGTGGGCTATCTCTGGGACAAATGAGAATCTAGGACAATGGACACTCTCAGGAATCTATGAGGCTGACCCTAGCTAGAGGGGACACGGAACATGAAACAGTCACCTCTTGTAACTAGGCAAGACTTCCAATGGAGGGATGTGGATAGCAATCCAGTCATAAAACCCACAACTGACTGACATTTTTCCTGCCTTTAAGAGGTGCAGGGATAAAAAGGGAGCAGAAAGTGAGAGAATGGACACTTAATGGCTCAACTAAAGTCCCATGCCATGACAGAGCCCAAGCCTGACACTATTAATAATATTCTGCTATATGTGCAGACAGGAAGCTAGTATAACTGTCATTTGAGTGGCTTCACCCAGCAGCTGATGAAAACAGATGCAAAGACCCACAGCCATCCATTAGGAAGAACTCCGGGAATCTTGTGGAAGAGGGGGAAGAAGGATTTTAAGAGCCAGAGAGGCCAAGGATACCATTAAAAAAAACCCAGAGAATCAACTGGATCCATGGGGCCTCACAGAGGCTGAACTGACCTAAGAGAATACGTGGGATAGACCTAGGACCCCTACACATATGTAACAGATGTGCAGCTCAGCCTTCATGTTGGACCTCTAACAGCAGGAGCAGAGGCTGACTCTGACTCTGTTGCCTGCCTTTGGATTCCTTTCCCCTAACTGGGCTGCTTTGTCTAGCCTCAATGAGAGAAAATGCACCCAGTCCTAGTACAACTTGATATGCCAAGGCACACTGATGTACATGCGAGGTCTCTCCTTCTCTGAAGAGAAAGAAACGGGGGGGGGGGGGGGTACAGGGGGTGGAGACGTGAGAAGTACTGGGAGGAGAGGATCGGGGAAGCTCTAATGGGGGTGTAAAGTAAATAAATTAATGAAAAAATATCCCCCCCCGCCAAGATTTAAATAAACATGGAGAACATCCTTTAAAACCAGGCCTTCAGTGGAAAAGTTCAGAATGTGTGGTGAACCCATCAGAACCTCATCTGGAAGCCACTCCCAACCTGTACAAGATACATATTCTTCAAATTGATTCTTGCTTTCAATTTGCAAGGTTACAGATCTAAAAGAATATTAGCTAGCACAGAACACTACCTGTACCCCATAAAGTACCTCATAACCTTTCATCTCTGAGCTGAATGGACAGTTGAGGAGACACAGCTTTGGTGATACCAATAAATCTACATGAAAACAATGAAGTTTGGCAGGATGGTGCCCTCAAGTTTCTCTTTTTAAAAATTCTACAGAATAATTTTTTAAACAAAATACTTTTTAAAGGGATTGAAAAGATAATTCAGTGGTTAAAAGCACTTGCTGCTCTTGCAGATCCCTAAGTTTGGCTCCTGACATCCACATGTTGGTATACAACCATCTGTAACTTTAGTCCCAGGAGATCCAATGCCCTCTTCTCGTTTCAGCAGGTACCAGACACAGGGTACATACATGGTACAGGTATAAATGGAAGAAAAATGAATTAAAATTTAATTAATTAAGTTCTTCAAATCTTTACCTCAATTACAAATCAACTATAAAATGCTTCTATCTTGGCACGATTAGGCTGCCTTACCTGCCCAGTTACAATGTGCTCACTGGGGCAACAACACTCTCCAAGAGCACAGAACTGTGCTTTAAACATAGCTACAATTTCAGTCAATGTTTGATTACCAACTAACTAGTCTACGTAAATCCTGAATTTGATACTGGATGTCAATAACCACACAATGTGGAAAGGCCCCTGCAGTTACCTTACTGCTTCTCAGGTGTTTACACACAAATGTCAGAGACAAGACTCAGCCGTGCTTCTTGTTCAATCAGGCAAAATCTTAGTAATTCCAGCTGTACTTTTACTCTTTCAATTGTTTTTTACATTTCTGTGTGTGTACATGTCACAGCAAGTGTGGACAACTGTGGAAGTTAATTTTCTCTACCAAGTAGATGCCAGGGATTACATTTAGATCATCAGCCATCTCACTGTCCCCTGCTCTCTTGACATTGTGTTCATTTGCTCCATTAAATGTTTCTTTCTTGCCTTGAGGTTTTTTTCAGGTAGCCCATCTTGATCTCCAACTTATTATGCAGCCACACAGACGACAGAAGGTGGCCATAAACTTCTGATCCTCCTGTCGCCAGCACTCCAAGTTCTGGGATTACAGGCAAGCGCAACACCACACCAGTGGTTTAGGCACTGGCACTAATAGGAAATCTAGCCCAGGGCTTCATGCATCCTAGGCAAGCACTCTAATACTCTATATCCCCAACCCCTCTTCCATTAAACATTTATTGGATGTTAGTCCTTCTTGGTTACTGAGCTAATAAAGAATCCTTTCTACAAAAACATGATGGTGAAATCATGAGAGTTCATAATATTGTGTTAGGTTAGGTTAGGGTCAGAATCAGAAAACTTATATTCTAAATATATCACCCCGAAGTCAAGAATTTGGATAGACCCTGTCAATCAATAAGAAAGTCAAGGCTGTGGAATGATTAGTAAATAAATTACAGAGGTATGAATAAAAACAACAATGTGCTACGTAAAGAAGCTGAAGGCAAAGAAAACAATGTTAGAGATTATCTTCCTAAGAAATGAAACAAATGCCACTATTACTATACAGTACAGACAATGCTGTGAAGTACAGGCCCTCTCCCATTCATGTTACTAAAACAGTACCAGTTTAGAATCTAAAACTGATTTAAAACTTTTCACCCAAGAGAAAATTAGTCTGTGCTTTAAGATATGTAATTTAAGATTCTAGACGATAACAGACTTTAACATTAAGTTAATTTATAACACCACCAATCATTTTGCAATAATAAAAGAATTCAAGAAAAGTAGACACTATTTCAAAGGACAAATTATGGAGTAAAATGTACATGTCTCTTGATTATTACAAGCGTTCAATATTTAAGGTGTATCACAAATCAAAAGAAATCTTAGAAAAAGGCAAAGTACAAAAATAAGTGAAGTTGATTTTTATTAGAGGATTAATAAAGGCTACATAAGTGAGACATAATTTGAACTGGACTATGAAGGCAAAAATAAGTGTCTGAAACAAGAAAGAAACTAAATATATACTGTAGTTGAAGCATAAAGAAGAGCTGAACAAAAACATAATTAGGAGCACCTTCCTTTTGGAAACTACAGACTATATTCTATTGCTGTGAGAAGCACCATCACAAAACCAACTTGGGGAACAAAGAGTTTATTTTGGCTTACAGTGTATAGTCCATTTTCCAGGAAAGTCAGGTTAAGAACTCAAGGAACTAATGTAGAAGCCATGAGAATCATTGCTTACTAGTTTACTCTTCATGGCTTGCTCAGCCTGTTTGTTTGTTTGTTTCTTTATTATATTAATCACAGGTTATTTACTTTGTGTCCCAGCCATAGCCCCCTCCCTCATTCCCTCCCAACCCCTCCCTCCCTCCCTCATCTCCTCCCTGCCCCTCCCCCAGTCCACTAACAGGGGAGGACCTCCTCCCTTCCATCTGACCCTAGCTTCTCAGGTCTCCTCAGGACTCAGCCTGTTTCTTTAATAGCACCTAAGACCACTGGTTCAGGGTGCCACCACTCTACGAGTTGAGTCCACCAACATCACTCATTAATCAAGAAAATGGCCCCACAGGCTAGCACACACACATTCTAGTGAGGGCAGTTTCTCAATTGAGGTTCTTTCTTCTCAAATGATTTTAGTTTGTGTCAATTTGGGAGAGAGAGAGAGAAAAAAAAAACTAACCAGGACAAAAGGCAAATGGGCAGAGAAGCAGAGGGCTAACAGTTTCAGTACCTTCACTGACAATAAAACAAGTAAAGAACAAATAATTACATCTTTGAAGTGAATGGTCCTAAGAGATGACAAAGCTCAAGATATAAATGGGAACTGGGATACAGTAAATGATTTTTTTAAATGTCAATATCCACTTATGAGCAGCCAAAGATGGACAGATGTATGGGATGATAAAATATGTAAAAGAAAGCATGAGTGAGGATCAATAAACTTAAATATATAAACATGAATAGCTTAATAATACAGCCAATTGATGGCAGGGACAGGAAACAGGGACAGCTGGAGCAAGATTTCAAAGACTCCGTGACTGTTGAAAAATTATCTAGTAGAATATAAGTGGAAAAGGAAAAAGAATAGGGATAAATTAGATGCAACAAACATCAAGGGAAAAACCATTTTAACCAATAATGATCTGAAAACAAGAATAGACACCACTGCCAATTTCCCTGGCTGGTCCCTTGTT